TGCCACTTTCTATGAACTTTGAGACGCATACTAAAATCAGACTTCCATGGATGCAGATCAATGACTTTGTCATAGTAAACAGCCATGATTTTAGAAATAAGATAGAATTTGAGGAAAGAGGATTTGTTTGTTCAAGTTATACTCCTTGATCTTCTATATATAGAGAGATGCGAAGTAGGTTACGTGATTAGATGCAATGCATTCTTTTAATCATTTAATAAATTTCGAAAAGCTATCAATGCAGTTCGTAGAACTAAATTAATCTTATTGTCAGATTTGTAGGTGACGTTTGGGGAAAAGAGGAATGGGAAAAGACCACACAATAGCATTGCATCGGTAAGTTTTCAAAATATTTGATCTTCAGAAACTTTTCAGAAAATATATTGTGTAAAGATATCGATTTGACAAAAGTTTTTGTCATTAATTTTGTAGTTATTGGTCGAAATCAGTTACAAAAATCTTATCCTCTGAAAATATTGATATCTCCAGTGCTCCGATAACTTTTTTACAGGAAGGTTGAGTTTTGGACTTCTGGATATTTTATCTTCATGAGAATAGCTCATACATAATGAGCTCATTACATTAAAAGGTATCTATTCCTTCTTCTCATTAATTTCATTTAGCCCGATACAGTAAAATATATTTTTGTAATCATCGTTAACCATCGAAAAGATTGTAGTTAATGGTCAAAATCAAATACCAAAATCTTATCCTATAAAGAAATTTATGTGAACAATGGTCCTTTTACTTTTTCAGAGAAGGGGATGTTTTGGGCTTCTCCGAGTATAATATCGATCTGAGAACAATCTATTACTAAGGTATGTTTTACTTATTCTCATTAATTTCGTGTTGCAAGTATATAGCTATTTGATGTCTATCACAAATCCAAATAAAATGCTTGATTCCCAAAGACTTTTTATTATATTGGAATTATTCTCAGCCTGTAGACTAAACCAAAAGAACAAATAATTGAAATTAAAAAAAAAAAGAAGTCTTATGATAAAAACTTGAAAGAAAGATTCATGGTAACAAAGCCTTTGGGATCAATTGAGAATGGACGGGTTTTAGGGACTCATAGCTTATATTGCACTTTTGTTAACACTTCACCGTCTCTGTCTTTCACAGCATTTGTCGATCAAATAGTGGATGTTTTCTTTGTTTGTATCATCTGCTCCTGCTTGATATCGCTAGTTTTAGGCTCAGCTTTAGCTTTGATTTCGACAACATTTTTCTCATGTTTTGTTTTTGAATCTTCATCATTGATCTTCTCCAGCTTGATGGACTTGGTGCACAGCTTCTTTGATGTTGATGAAAGATCAGGTAATTCTTCACACTCTTCAGAAGATCGCTTAGAAGAAGATGTTATGCTAACATTTGAATTTCCTTCAGTGCTACTATTAATTATAGAAAGCTAATATAATAATAACTATGTTAGATAATATAAAAAGAGATGCATAATTATAAGCGGATACAAACAACTAATACCTCATCACTTGAAACAATTGTGGACAAATTGTCAACTTGTGTTAGAGTGTCCAAGGAAGTCTTTGTTGGTAGACTTAGATCATTTCCAGTCCAAACATTCCCAACCTTATAGGTCTCTAAACCGTAGTACATGTTTTCTTTTGCAACAAAGACAACAAACTGAAAAGTCTTTCCCACTAAATCCTTTATAAGCTGAGGGAAATCTTCTGTATCCACCATCTGTATAAAAAACACGTACTATGTTAGGAACCATGATAAACCGTGTACATTATTCAACAATGAATTACCTCATCAAACGAACCCCCAAGTAGATCAGTTGCTGATACAGGCATGATGAGATTTGCCACCTTGTCAAGAAGCATCACTTTTGTTTTTGCAGTTTGATCCATAACCATAAAATGGAGCTTAAACCTGAAAAACAAAAGATCTTTTAATAGTGTTGGATAATCTAGATATATCAAAAATTAATTCATTCGCGGGTGAAGAATAAATATAACCTTGCCGAAACCTTAGTGATGACTTCATCACAAGTTTTACACCACCAAGTTGGTGCATTTACCCGAACTGTGTTTCCTGCTTGTTTCTTTGAAGTTTTTTCAACCTTTCGATTACATTTCAGACAACCAAAATAATACCAACCCAGTCGATATCAATGGCATAAATCGAGCACACTATCTTGCATTTCTCAATCTGTAATACAAATTAACAAAATTTATATTATGTTTGGCAGAATGTTTGTTTTAGTTGACAAAAAAATGATGGTGATCAGTTTCAACATTTAGCTATTTTTTACCTCTACTGCAGCAAGTAACTCGTCAATTGTTTTTTGTGGCAGTTGTGCCCAATATTCCTTCTTTTTAACCAACTGGGATTCTTCATCTTTAGGTTCTTGAATTATGAGAGCAAGACCATCATCTGGCAGCCTGGAGAATATGTAAAGATAAGTTTCAATATTCTATGATTCTCAGTTGTTATGCGGTGATATTATTTATTTTGTAGGACTTTTGTAATTGATAGATAATACACTTAATGACTTACGCTTTTTGAAATTCTTCTATCTCAGGTATCGAAGGATTGATCAACAATTTTGTTGTATCAAAGGCATTTGTGATCTGCAGCTTTCCTGAAAGAATAACATATATATAGCAATGGAATGAGATTATGGTGGTCTTTTTCATTGAAGGTAATACTTTATCGCTAAAATTATACCTCTGTAGGTTCCAATTTTAGCAAATCGTATAAGGCATATAACGGGTTCACCATTAGCATCTTGACAACTGCTAAATAGTTCCTCAGCATGTTTTTGCCACATACAACACGGCATACGCTCATCACTGCATAGTTAAAACTAACGTTTAGGCAACATTAAAAAACAATTCAAGACTTCTAAAACTTAATCAGGGTAAAGTAAAGATATTACTTAGTATCTCGTAGCTCAAACTCAATTTTTTTTCTCTCCTTTCCATTCACTTGCACACCTTCGAGGTCTTTGACATCAACCACTTGACCAATAACGTCTGAAATTTTATGTAAAAAATTATAATGAAGCAACATAGTCTAAGTGAAAAAATATTTACTATATTCAAATTTACAATACTCACCAACCAAAAAACTGTGATTAAGTGAACCACCTAAAATGGTATCAAAATCCACGAGTTTTATGAAATCTCCCGTTTTCTTCACATTACACTTAGTGATAGATGTGTTATCCGTAAAAGACATCTTGTAAGTGTGTTTTGTTGGTCGGTACTGGCCATATGCAGATGATAATGAAAAGTTTTCAACAACTTTCCATTCTCCAACAGGAACCAATCGCTCAACACGCTGAACATAGCTTTTTTTAACAGATGCATGTATCATTGTACCCTGAAATATAGAAAACACAATTGTTAGTGTAAGTATATAATTTTTCCAAATATTTTATGCAATTAATAATTAATGTTTTCATCTTATAATTATCATCTTACAGATTCATCAGTAAGAATGAGCTCCAATGATCCACCGGATTGAGCAGTGTATTGCTTCCAGCAATGCACGACTTTGACACGGACTCTCCAACCTGTTTTGAAAGGCTTGACGTCGGAGAGGTTAGTAAAACGAATGAGAGAAGTCATTTTTTTGACCTGTTCGTACAAAGTTTTATTTAGAGTGCTTTGTGTAGTTCGAATGAGTTATAGAGCTAAATCGAAGTATGTATTTATAGGTAAAATGATTAGTTTGGGTTGTTACAACTTGAAAATAGAGAAAATATACGGAAGATATTAGATTTCATTAGATAAATACGGAATTATTCTCCTAAAAAGTATATTTAGTTAACAATATAGATTATTGATCGTAGATTTTACGGGATTGATAGGAAAATGGAATATATTATCTTTTTAGAATCATAACGTATTTAATAAAAATCAGTAGCTACTGGATATATTGTAACAGAAAATCTAGTTGAAAAAGATATAGAATCATAGAATCATGAGTCACGGGAAGCTCATGTTGCTTGTTTAGATTTGAAGTTAAAAATTTAAACAGATTTAGAATGACGCGGATGTTAAAAAATTCAAAGATTTTTTGATAAAAATGTTTTCGACCAAGTTTTCATAATAGATTTTTTGATAAAAATGTTTTGGACCTCTTTTACCAAGTTTACATAATAGAATATGGTTTGGTATTCATCATTCTAAATGGTCATATACGGATCATTAAGTGTATGTTTTCGGTAATAGAACTTTGGAAACTATCAAGATTATGTATTAGCACAAAAAATTGATTATAGAGTGATTGAAAAGTGATGTTGTGTTTCGTGTATGTTATCCATGAAACAGGTACGAACAGGTTCAATAAATGGTTCAAAGTCGAAAGTAAATGGCGGGCTTATAATCATTAGTTAGTAATGTATAATTATGTTCACTCGAGCTCTGACTTAAACCCGCGCATGGCATAGATGTATAATTATGTTACAAAGTTTAATCATATTGTTAGTATTAATTCATTAATGACAATTAAGGTAAATAACATTAGATAAAGGTTATTTATAAAAAATGATCATCTTTTAATAGTATAGATTTTAAAACCGAAATACGATACAAAAAATTATAGCCTTCGCGACTTCTGAGTTTACTCCAATCTATCGGCACTACAAAGCTTCCGTTTCTTATCTTTTCATCTTCGTCCTCCTTCAAAGGGTTTATTAGCCATCACGATACAAACGTGCAGAATGAAAGCCTTTTGAATCGGGAAGGAAGATTGTTGGTAATTCAACTCGAAAAGGTAGAAAGGGGTTTCAGATTTAGGTATTTTGTTTGCATACTGGTTGCGTGTTCCATTTAAGACGGTGGCTAAAACCGGCTATCGCGCTTTGCTAAGCTTCAGTGTCTCTATTACTTCTACCAAGGTATTTTTCATTTTTCGAACAATTGGATATATTCTTCTAATAACCATTGTCTGAAAAGTAAAGCATTTGCTACACATTTCGCTTTCAGTCATTCTGATTAAGCTTTGCTTTCATTTTGTTGTAAAGAGGAGTTGGTGGTCAAGTTGTTAGGATCACTAATCAGAAACCACCCGAAGCAGATGAAGTTATGTACAGTCTGGAACACAATATGTTGGATCGAGGAGTGCAGGTTTCGAGTCGATTCCTTCTCTTCTTTCACGTTTATTCGCCTGAAATTAGCATTATTAGAAGAAAGGTTTATCATTTACTATTTGATTGAACTAATCTTTAGCTTTTTATTTCTGTCTCCAGATCATCTCTGCAAAGGGTCATAAAGCCATAGATACAGCTCTCAAGGTTGATTTGATCGTTCTGAATACTGCCGTGGCTGGGAAATGGCTGGATGCGGTTCTCAAGGAAGATGTTCGCAAAGTTCTTCCCAAGATTCTCTGGTGGATTCATGAGATGAGAGACCACTATTTCAAACCAGATTTAGTCAAAAACCTCCCGTTTGTTGCAGGGGCGATGATTGATTCTCACGCAACAGCTGATTACTGGAAGAATAGAACCCACTTAGGGTCCGTTCTCTTTATAACCCCCCCCCCCCCCCCCCCCCCCCCCCCCCCCCCCCCCCCCCCCCCCTCCCCCCCCCCCCCCCATTTTCAGTTGGATTCATCTGTTTTTTCCTGTCTTCTTATCAGCTTAACATTGTCTTTATGATTGGTGGAATGCAGGATTAAAATGCCTAAAACTTACATCGTGCATTTAGGAAATAGCAAGGAGTTGATGGAAGTAGTTGAAGATAGTGTTTCCAAGAGAGTTCTACGTGAGCACGTCCGTGAATCTCTTGAAGTGCGGAATCAAGACTTACTATTTGGCATTATTAATAGTATGCCAATCTTTTCAAATCTTGCTTTTTTTCACGCTCAAATTTGACGGCAATAAGATCGATTAGGGTAGTGCTCACTACCGCTAACTTCCATTGATTCATCTCTCCACCCTTTATTATGCGTCTATAAGCTCAAAATTTGAGAATATCCGTCCCAAATGTGTTTGAGCAGTAAGTGCATTATGTGGTATTGGTTTTTATTTGATTACGAGGGAGCACTAAGCTTCCAAGTGCATAAACTCATTATCTTCTTAATTTTCGACCACCGCTTCACAATGTTCGAAGTCTTTATAGGCGTATATGTGTGTTATTATATGTAAGGCAACGTCTCGCAGTATTAAAAAAATTATGTTTGGTTTCTTTTGTTGTATAAAACATATGCTAATCTCACATATGTTTCTTTGAAAGAGTGAAGGGGAAAAAGGACATTTGGATTGCGACAAAAACAAAAAAAAGAAAAAAGAAAAAACAAGGACATTCGAGAAATGGAATGCGCCTAAATACAATTGAGAATGAAGAACCTGCGATAAAACATGTTGCTTCTGATGAGATGGAACTTAACATTGCTTACATTCTCGACAGGATTGAGAGCTTCGCACATATTGTAAGCTGTGATAATTTCCCTCCGATAAATGCATGAGCTTACATTTAAAAAGAATTCGATATGTCTATCAAGTTTATGCTGTTCATCAGTTGTGCTTTTTCTGTATGTTTCTAACTTGCTGAAATCAGGGAAAACAACACTGACGGAACTTGGTAACCAATTTGAAGAAGGCTTGATCATGTAAGATAAAGAGAGCCTCCAATGTTTATGTTTGTACTATATATTGGGATGTTTATACATTCACATCATCGCATGAATATCACACATATACATGATACACAAGGAACATGTTGAGAAATGGCAGGAGGAGATCAGGGACTTACGTTTGCTTGATGCATCTAACGAGGACACTACTTCCCTGTTACACAACGTTCGCCATCTGATTCAGAACCCTAGCATTGAACCATAAAGTAACATCTAAACCACATGAACAAAATACTATTACCATTACTAAGAACATATTATCTTCTGTCCAGTCATGTAATAAGTCATATAAATATCACCGTAGATCAACATATCCTTGGTTGGAGAAACTAAATTTGGACAATAATAAAACTATACGAAGACGTGAAGAAAACTTAGAACAATTTTATCATCACCCTTCTTAAATAAAACCAAAATACTGTTGTTTTCCAACTATTTTGCTTAAACAATAAACCTTCTCCATGAAACTCAGTTGTTAAGAAATTTCTTAAGTTTATTTGACAGACCAAAAACATTTTTTTCTTTCTCATTTCTGATAATAATGGAGATGTAATTAGATTGTTCTTGCCTATCTAATCTTATAGAGAAGCGTATACTTTCCCGATATGTTTTTTCATATATTAACTCTTCGTGACAAGCTATTAAATCATTTATACCGAATTTTCAAGTGTGTTTTTTCATATATTGACTATGCAGGAGCTATCAAATTTTGTGGCAAAAATAGTCTGAAGAAATGAAAGTGGTGACATCGGTGTGGTGATTATCTGTGAGATAGATGGAGGAACTTTCTGGACTGTTAAGTTGTCTTTCCGAACCATTTATGCATTCAACTTCTTCATAAATTAGCAACTCTGTACGATGAGCAACACATCTTTCTAATAAATTATTTTATGGTTATAATTGCATTAAAATTTTCTTCGTTATTTTACAATTTTCGATTTTATCGTTCAAAGTCAGTTTCTAATATTGTCTTCGATTTGTAAAACTAATAAACTATTTGTGGGTGAAGCATTGCATGTTGGATTAGCCGAGATTTTTAAACATTTATACGAACCTAACTTACTATAGATGAGATAGATAGAAACACCACATTGAGATCTTTTTATTTACACTCGCTTTTTGCCATATATCTTTGATACTCAATCATACTATTGACAGTTCATTTACATCATTCTATAGAAAACCTATACATATGCTTTTTCTATTTAAGTAAGACAAGAATAACTTCCCAATGAGAAAAAAAAATACTAAAACCACTCCATTTATTATTAAATGAAGTGGCTAAAACCGGCTATCGAGTTTGACTTTGTTTGTTCTTTTTTTAGCTTTTCATTTTTTTCATCTTTGTGTCTCATGCATTTCATGTATACATTTAAATGCATAGAAAAAAATACAAAAAAAACTAAAAAATTTGAAATTTTTTGCAAACCAAAAAGAGAGAATATAGTTGCCTTTCATTTATTTAAGATTGAGTCTAGTGTTTGCATATAGGCTGCATTGCATTTGCAAGGGCATGATGATGAATTTTCTTTGTAAAGTGTTTAAGATTTATTTAAATGTCTAAGTGGTTAGTTGTTTGATGCATTATGAGAAAGTCAGAAGTAAAGGCCGAACCATGTTTGGATTGCTAAATTTGATTCTCTCATTCTTATACTGAAACCATTTGTACAAAATCAACTCTATCTATTTGAACCTTAATCTGATTTTTAATGGCTACCATATACATATTTGGATCATCTTTTTCCTTCTTAAAACTCTTGTTGATCCAAGTAGCTGATCCTCATACCTATTGGACAATTGATCCACTCCCTTAACCAAACCTCCTTTTTGAGCCTAAACACCATTTCTGAGAGTTGTGAGGCCTTGCATTCGTAATTTTTGAATTTAATCTTGGCAAAAAGTGTTAGGATTAAGGCTGGCAAGGAGAAGCTCTCTTGTAGATATCAGCTTGCATTTTGAGCTTGATTCTAGGTTAGGAGTTTGGGATGAAAGGGTAGTGTTAAGTGGTTTGAACTTTATATTTATATCTTTTTAAGAAGAAGAAGAAGTATGGGATGGTAGTATGGGGAAGTTGAGTTAAAATTGTTGTTAAGTAAAGGGAAGAAAAGCTCTAAGTGCTTAATCTAAGGAGGCGCCAAAAACAGCAAGGCTTTGAAAGGTCATTCAAAAGAAGAAATCAGACCCAAGGCAATCCACCAAAGGGGAAAAATGGCACTTAATCAACAAAAGAAGAGCAAGTCCCAACAAAAAGGATCAACCAAACAAGCAAGAAGAAGAAGTTTCCCCACACATGAAGAAGAAGAAGATCAAAGTTCTTTGGAAAAGGGTAGACTTAGGGGTTCACTTTGGGTTTAGAAGTCTTTGGGATTCATCTTTGAGTTAAGGGTAGAAGAGAGCTTTGGCTTGCAAGCATAAGTGTGCTTTTACCTTTAGCATTTTGCCTAAGAGAATCATTTTCATTGACTGATCCCTTGAGTTTACTAGCCCTTACTTGAATGAGATCATTTTCATCTCATAACCATATCCTAAGACCAAATTTTTTCACTTGATTTGGACAAACTTGATTCATGGTTACAAGCTTAATGAATGTTAAAGAGTTGGTTGATTTGGCATTTGTCTATGAGACTTGAGATCATTTTGAAACATGATGAGCATGGCTATTGATATGCTCAAATTAACCCTTAGAGCTACTCTCTCAAATTAAGAGATCACTGTAGTACTTAGGGATAGAATCCACAAGGACTTAGATTGTTGCACAATAAATTTCAGGTTCAAATCAAGCTAAGCAAAACTAAATGAATGTAATGCAAGTAATAAAAAGAAAGCAGCAAATCGATTGTGAGAAGGTTTTAAATCAAAGAGAGAAACGCTAGGCCTTGGGAAATTCGCAGGTGAATCCGAATTGCAAATCTAGAAAGAATGTTAGGAGTTTATTAAGCACTGTTCTTGAACTTGAAACACTAATATAAAATCAATCAACTTCCGCTGCAGAGATTATCTATGTCTAAATCCTAGAATCTCAAATTCCTTTGCAAATCCTATCAATTCAAACAAGCATTAAAATCAGGTTCAATTGTTCACAAAATCCTAAACCAAATTCCTTTGCAGATAGGAATTTTGCTCATCTAAGATCAGTTCTGGTGATTAACAATACTTCCGCATCTATTAATCAACCTAAGATCAGATTCTAGGTCGCGAAGCTAGAATAAGCAATAAACACAAATCCAGATGAAGAACTCTAATGATTTTACCCTAACAATTCAATTCAACCTATCAATTCACCATCACCTTTGAAAAACCCTAAATCTAACAAGCAAACTACTCAGACATGATCAATGAAACACAAATCATAATTTGAATAGAAGGCATAAGAGAAATCAATAGAAGAAATAAGGGAGCTCAAAATCTTCTCTAAAGGAGACTAATTTATCTCTCCAAAAACTCTCTGAAAATCTCTCTTAATCTCTTTGTAAAATAAAGCTTAGGTCTAAACAATGACCATAAAAATCCTTTTATAGACCCAAAACACGATTTGGGGCAAAACTGCAGATATATAAAACTTATGGGCAAACTTGTAAGTCTTCAGAAATCTTTAAAAGCTCGGGCAAGATTTGTGCACTTTTGGTGTCGATCGACACCAAGACCCTAGTGTCAATCGACACGGAATTTGCACGCGCACTGCACAATTTCTGCTCGACAGTGTACAATTTTTGCACAACTTGATTTCTTCAGCAACATCTTCTGTTTTGCTCCAGAATGCTCCAATATCTCCAAATAAGCTTTAAACGTATCCAAACCTGTACAGACTCAAAAAGACTGGATAATACCAAAAAAACTTTATAAACAAGACTTATATCATGGTCCAAAACCCATAAAAACCATGATGTATCAACTCCCCCAGACTTAGCTTTTGCTTGCCCTCAGGCAAACATAAAACTAAATCAGAGTCGAGGTTTGAAAACGCAGGAACTCACCTTCTCATAGATCTTTGCTTTGACTGTTCATCATGTAATCCACACACTGCATTTCTTAAACCAAGTCGAACCACCATGTACTTCTCCTTAGACATTCACAACATCCCAGATTCAACACATAAATTCACAGCATTGTCCAATAACTATCATTGCTAAACCTCATTAGCAGTCTAAATGTTCAAGAACCTTCTAGATTCATTCTCATACTATACCTAAATAAACATCCATTGCAATCTATCAACCTTTGGTACTCTTTCTCTCCCCCATACTTATTCTTTTCTTTATGTTTCATTATATTATTCAGGTGTAGGTAAATAATGGTATCACGGGATAATCCTAAAATGAAATACTAGGATCATTGGAAATTTTCATACCCTTCACCCAAAGAGAATCATATCAAAATTTCAAATTTATTACATTTAATTCCTTTTTTTTTATTTAAACAAGGGAGAGAAGTACCATTACTTTTCAAATATTGCAGGCAATTTATCAGGTATAAATAAGGAATCAAGCTCTATGAACATTAAACTTACAAAAGTAGTCTTTTTGAAGCTTAAGTTAAGTGGACTTGCTCGAACTATAGATGTTTCTAGTTAACTGGCCAGCCTAAGGATTTTTGATTAGTCAGAAACTGGTATTAATCATGCATCAATGGTCACTCAAATGAAACAATCAGCACAAACAATCAAGAGAAAGATCATAGTTCCCAACTAGTTTTGACTCAATAAAACAAATTTTGGACTAACTCAAAACTGACTCTCAAAAACAAACACAACATCAGCAACTACCTCCCCCAGACTTAAACAACACTGTCCCCAATGTTATCAAGCCTGAAGTAGGTGAAGTAGGTGAAAGGAAGAATCAGAACTCAGTGAACAGAGGTTTTACAGAAACATACCTTATAGGTCGGATGAATGAGTGATAGAATATGAAAGAGCACAAAATTCCAACCAGTTTAGGCTTTTGAATCACTCAAAAAGCTCAAGAAATGCGAAAGTTATGGATG